CAAAACATTTATCTAAACAAACAAATATTTTTCATATGCTCAAACACCTGAAGTAGACGGCTCCATAATAAAATTTTCACTTTTAGAAGTCTTTATTAAAAAAATTATTACTGGAAATATGCAAATTTTCACTTTTAACCAATGCGCGCAAAAATAATGATAATTTCTGAACTTTGAAGACACACTACAAATAAAGTAAACAACTAAGAACTTTTATGTTGGCAATTATTGATGTAGAATTTTATCTTCTTTCATTCGGTACCAAAAACGGTTATTAAAGTTAAAGTTCATTTTTTGAATTAATCTCCACTTTGCCTACCGCTCAACCCAGCGTGAGTCGTTTGGCCATTAGTGCGTCATGAAAATAGTTATGCTTAACTATCATGTTGTTCCCGGGAGTATTTTGAAACCATGTTCAACAACAGTAATGTCCCCCCTGATTCAGCTTACAGAACTCTATTTTTAATGTGTTATATTTTGTTATCGATTACAATGAATTCCTAATTTAGTACATTTTACCACATGTCCATTATATATTTATTTCATTCACTAATACACCTACATCACTCATGCCACAAGAATCGCTTTGATAGAATTAGAAAACCATTTTGTATTTTAGTTTGTAAGAAGAACTCAATAAAGCAAGGTCTTTAACTATGAATTACCCAAGAAAACTGGATTTTGAATTCGCTTTTCCTTGGGAACCAACCAGCAGAATTTTGAGAAAGGTACTTAATTCTTCAATATTAATGGTTCTATGTCCATTGCAATAAGTAAGTCAATGGGTTGTCTGATGTAGAACTTCTAGTCAGCCAATTCCAATGATGTAATGTCTCTTAGCTGTGATTTATCTAAGTTTTGTGGCGGTAGATTTCAAGCTAACGTTCGTAAAACTAGAGCCCACACCTCCAGTTTAAAGCTGCGGTAGGGAGATTTTCTCCTCCAGAGTTGTTTCCATTTTTTGCAAAATTGGTTTGGAAAGTGTTAAGAACTCTCCGTGTATTGTTCCCAGGTCGCTATGATTAATTGATTTTTGTCGTTGACGGTTTTATGTTCCCCACCGATTCCATTGCCTTGAATATATTTGTCAAAAACGCATCAAATTTTTCACATTTTGGAAGAAGTTTGCCGTTAGCGAATTCTCGAAATCCTTAAGCAAATGTCTTGGTAATTTAGTAGAACAAATATATATTAAAATAGGATCCCATCCTTTAGCATCGACATCAGGGGTCCCCAAAATTTGAATGCAGCTATTCACCGTGCGTTGTAGCTTCTGTGTAGTCTGGTCTTAATCAGTTCATTAATTTGCATCCTTTTATTCTCGTAGCGATCAATGAGATTCTTCCGGGCTAAATTAAATCCATCGTTAGCGAAACACTACTAATTTCCCTTGCATCTCCAACAGTCTTCTCCTTATATAGATTACAGAAAATAAATCTCTACTAGTGGGTCAATTGCTATCGCATGGTTGCAGACGAGATATCGGCGTAAAGTTTATTACCTTGTCTTTCTGTGACCTCTCTGATTCCCTTTTGGTTTTTTTCCAGAGTTGTTTGTAATTGTAAATTTATTGCGCTCAGCCCTTTTTGTACGAATCCATTGCCTCCATATATTGTTTCCTGAACTTGTTTTTATCAATGAGTTTTTTATCCTTCTTCGGTACATGGTCTCGACACTCCACACAAGCCCTTTTATCCTGGTCCTATGTTGATTTTAGTTCCACTCGAGTGGTTTCCAATTTGTGTATTGTGTCATCAGGGTTGGTTATGGAAAATATCAAAATTGCGAATTTGTTGCATAATGTTTTGGCTATGACAAATTTTGAGATTTTATCTTTATAAAAATTTTGAAAAGGACTAAATTCGTCTGAACAAGGGAAAATGCTGAAATGTAAAATTATTTTTGGTTATAATTAGAAAAAAAATTACAAAGTATATTAAAATGTTGAAGCGTAGGTATGTGTCTGTCCACCAGACAAGATTTGCAAAAATGGATTCAAAAAATTTTTCCAAAGTTTGAGGTTAACATTTTGATATATATGTGTGTCAAAAAGCAAGTACTTACTTTGTGGTCCACCACAGTTTTTCCAAAAAAAAAAAACTGATCAAGATTTGAGGTTATAATGGATTCAAAAAATTTATCCACCGTTTGAGGTTAAAATATATATATATATATGTCAAAAAGCAAGTACTTACTTTGTGGTCCACCAGAATTTTTCGAAACAAAAATGATCAAGATTTGAGGTTATAACACTTTCAATGTATGAGCATGCTGCGTACCAGACTTTTTCCAAAAAAATTCAACTTCAGTGTATGAGTGTGTCCGTCCACCGGACTCTATGAAAGCAAACAGGTAAAAAAGCGTTCGGCCGGGCCGAACTTAACGCTTCATCATAGTATAGTATGGAGGGTATATTAATGTTGTTTTTCCGTTTTGTAACGCATCGAAGTAATCATTTCCGACCCTATAAAGAATATATATATATTTTGATCAGCGTAAAATTCTATGACGATATAGCCATGTCCGTCTGTCTGTCCGTCTATTGTAATCACTCCAGCGTCTAAATGAATTGAGATAGATCGCTAAAATTTCAGCAATTATGGATATAGGTCCGCCAATTCTCGGTATTTTCGGGTATATGGTAACAAATCTCCCCACCAAAAAATATTAATATTTGCCCCTTTTTGGGGTAGTCCCCATATAACCCCCTTTTTATACCCTCCACCATAGTATGGAGGGTATATTAATTTTGTCATTCCGTTTGTAACTCATCGAAATATTCATTTCCCACCCAGCAAAGTATATATATTCTTGATCAGTGTAGAAGTCTAAGACGATCTAGCCATGTCCGTCCGTTGTAATCACGAAGGCAGGTCAAGTTCGAAGATGGGATATATCGGTCCACGTTTAAGCATAGCTCCCATATAAAGGTACCCCCCAATTTTCGGTATTTTGCGGTTTTTGAGCGCGAGTTACATCCCCATCTCTGGATGTATAGTAATCTAATAATAAATAAAAAATTGTCATGGAAAAATCTTGTTTAGAAGATAATCTAATAATAAGTAAACATTGTCATGGATAAAGCGAAATACAAAAGTTCTCAAATGATATTTGAATCTTTTGTTTTCGTTCCCATGTTCAGAGACAATCATTCAATGCAACGTAAGCATAAATGTTTCGCTTCATTGAATGCAAGTATCTATCATTTTTATTTCTATATTTTTAAATTTTAGTCTTAAGACAAACTCTCAAATAAACAAAACTCTAAAGAAAAACCGTATATTTTTAATCCACGTTGCTGGTGCATTCGGGCTACCCCATTCCGAAGAATTGGATAGAAAAAAACCTCCGTATTAAGGCATTGTAAAGTTCGGCTAAGTTATTTTGCAAAGAAAATATATATAAAACAAGTTATAAAAAGAAAAAATAGTGAAAAAATTAATAAATCAACAAATATATGTTAACAAAGACAAACATACGTTTACGGTTCACAACAACAAATATAAGCTTACGGTCAGTACTAAAAACTAAGTGACTGTTAAAATATTAAACAAAGTTTGAGGTTAACATTTTGATATATATGTGTGTCAAAAAGCAAGTACTTACTTTGTGGTCCACCACAGTTTTTCCAAAAAAAAACTGATCAAGATTTGAGGTTATAATGGATTCAAAAAATGTATCCACCGTTTGAGGTTAATATATATATATATATATATGTCAAATGCTTTGTTTGGGGACAGCAATTTTTTTAACTTTTGAACCCATTTTTAGTATAATTAGGGCCTTCCTCAGCTACATTTAATAATCATTAGGTAATTTTCCCGAAAACTTTTGATTTGCATCATATTTTTTACATAACGACTACTTTGAGGTCATCATATATGTTGTAGCTCCTTTCAGACACTGTCCCCAAAATGCACACGGCGTATATTTTGTTGTGGGTTGCCACCACGTTGTCAAATATATTCAACACAACTTAACGCCGTTGCATGATAACCGGACGTCCTTTGGGAAAACTGCAAATATAACATGAGCAACATACACATATATATCTAAAAAAACCTGACTTTAAAACATTTTTTTTATCTTAAAAAAGTTCGCTTCAGGAAAAAATTTTTTCAGGAGTTCAAAAATTTCACTTGAGAGCAATATCTTCTTATAAAATTGAAGTTTGAGGACAAAATATACATAAACAAGTTAAAAAGTATCAGTCGGGTTTGCCGACAGATTAATACCCTCAGCCTAAGTCTACATTATTAAAATATGTTAGGACTTCTGTTCTGTGGTTTTTCAATATATCGAACCATTATAGAGGGATATCCAGAAGATCAATATTGTTCATTTCGAATGTGACCTAATATAAAGGAGTTCCAACATTTAATATGTTAAATATGGAAAATGTTGAAGTTTTGTGGGAAAGGAAGAAATAGCAGACAGATGTCTCTAAGAAAATTGTAGACTTCTTTCGCATGCGAGTTATATATATTCAGAATGTTCATACTTTATGAGGGAAGTACCAGAAGGAGTAAGCAGACGTTTTGCATTTAATGAGACTCAGAAGGAGTGGGCTCAGATATATTGAAACATAATATGTTTGAAGAGCATCGCTGACTCGTTGCGCATGTTTAAGAGGTTATATTTATTAAATATTTTGAACTTATGTGAGGAAGGTACTAGAAAGAGTAGTCCGCTATTTTCGATATTCCCATCAGGTATTTTGTGTAAATGTATAGGAAAAAATCGGATTATTATATATTATTCAAAATGTTTGCCTTTGTGGGGGAGGTACCAGAAGGAGTGGTCCGCTATATTCCATTTTTACACAAGATGTTACAATGGTAAAACTATTTGTATGTGCGAAGTTTGAAAATAATCGGATGATTAAATTTTGATGATTTTTGTGGAGGGGAGGTGCTTACCAAAAGAAGTGGTTCGCTATAGCCCACTAGATTTTATAATGGTAAAAATATTGGTATGTGTGATATTTGATGAAAATGAAAATTAGTTATTCCAAATTTTGACCCTTTGTGGGGGAGGTACCAGAAGGAGTGTCTCGCTATACTCCATCTTTACACCAGATAAATATATGGTAAAAATATTGATACGTGTGAAATTTGATGAGAATCCGATGTATAGTTTGCATTCTATGAGCGTCTTAGTTATTCCAAACTTTGACCCTTGTGGGGGAGGTACTAGAAGGAGTAGTTCAATCTTGTCCATTCTCGCACCTAATCTTGGGGTAATGCAAATATTACGATTTGCAAAGTTTGAAGAAAATCAAATAATCCGTTATGTTTATATGCGGTGAACCATTTTCAATGAAATTTTTGAACATTTGTGGGGGAGGTACCAGAAGGAGTGGACCGATATTGCCCATCTCCGAACTCGATCTAAGTTTGACAAAAATATTACGATGCTAGATCGACTCCAAATGTCCTGAAACGGATTTGGTCCAAAGAGACCTAGGGTCTAAAACCGTTATTTCGGCTAGGCACGTTTTGACCGTATCAAATGATACATACCCTCTTTAGCCATATGGCTGAGGGTATAAAAATGTACGTTTGAGGAAAACATATTAACAAAAGTAAGCAAAGGCTATAGGAAGACGGGGCCTACCATGTCATACCATGCACCATTACTTCCGTACATTGACGATTAAAAAACTATAAACATAAATAAATGAATGCATTAGACTGTAAATCTATCATCGACATTTGGCATCCATTTATAAGCCAAAAGTTCCTTTTCCAAATATAACTCACAAATTGTATCCCCTGAAAACAAGAAAGAAAAGTGTCAGTCGGCTAAACGACTGGGATATACCCTCAGAATTAGTCAGAAAAATGACTAATATAACGACCATAGGCAAAAAAGTTAAAATACTCATAAAAAGCGGTACCGTTAAAGGATCAAATACTAAAATATGGACCTACGTCCATAATATTTTAATGACATTTTTGTTGACTCCTTAGCATATCAGAGTCCAAATACGGCTTAGTAAGTCGAAAAGCGTTGGTTAACTCTTGAAAATATTTAAAATAGGGAGGTATCTTAAATTGGGAGCTTTACAAAAATCAAGGCCTATATGAACAATTTTTTCTAGAGATGTTTATTGTCCTCTAAAAACCTAGGATGTATATTTACTTGTTACTAGGTCAGCAAAATGTAGCAAAAACTTCTAAATATATAAAATAGGGCGATACCTAAAATGGGGGCCAATTCAATTATGGACCTAAGTCCATACTTTTTAACGGAAGCGTGTTTAGTCCATTGGGAACCCTAATGGTCAAAATAGAACAGTTTTCGTTGACATATGAATCAAAAATCCTAAAAATCGGGCGGTATCGTTGTGTGGGGTCAAAATAGATCTGTTTTCATCAAAAAATGAAGCTAAAATCTCTAAAATACTGAAAATAGGGCAGTATTGTTGTGTGGAGGATATGTCAAAACGTGGACCGATATTGGGCATTTTCAAACTTAAACTAAGTTTGGACAAAAAAACTACCGTGCACCAAATTCGGGCCAGATCGGGCAGACACATGGACGGACATGGCTAAATCGAATCCAAATTACCTGAAACGGATTTCGTCTTAGCATATGTGGTGTCTAAAACCATTATTTCGAGTAGGCACATTCTCATCGTATCAGGGTTTATACGATATACCTTCTGTAGGCAAAATGATGACCTAGACTTATCTCTAGTTTAGTGAAAGAGTTGCAATGGTAGAAATTGGTGTCCTGATCACAGGAAAGGCTACCCGGGTATTTGACACAAAAGTTCGGGTTAAAAAACCAGTTTTCCGGAACTGATTACTTCAATATGGGTATCGTTGGAAAGCTTATGAAAATAACTTTCGAACAAGAAGAAAAATGTGGCCAAAGGTCGACCACCTGAAAAAAGGGTGTTGGGTATAAAAATCAAGTTTGAAGACAACATATTCGTTAAAAATCGATATTTCAGGAAAACATATTCCTCAAATATCCACTCCACTTTAAATGTTAAATTACAGCCCATTCTGTAAGATACTTAAGATACTTAAGTTTTTTTTGGGCGCGTTATGAACTATTCAAAATATTGGACTAATAGATTGCAAAATGCAAATTGCAAAATGCAAATATGCACACACACACTGGAAAATACTTTGAAACAATTAAACTTACCCATGTCGAATTGTGCTCCCCCCAAATGTAAAAATTAGCATTTCTAACTTCGTCGCTTTTTAAGACGTATGGGGGGCTACACCAAAATTTGGACATATGTTGCTAAGTAGACCCCTTAAATGCAAAATTAGAGTCCACGCGACAATAATAAACGGGCATGTAGACCCAAGAAACCTTGAATTTCAAATAACAGACAATCTTCTTTAATTAGAAGGCTACAAATACTTTGTTCTTCTGCAAAAAATACGACTTACGTTTTCCTCTCTATATAATACGATTAAACTTTTTCTTCTGTATATAATATGACTTTTGTTGTCGTCTTCTGTAATGAAGACTGTCTACGTTTTTTCTTCGTTATAGAAGGGGCCTAAGTAAAAATTTGCTAACCTGCCTTGATTTTAGTGTCTACTTTCATCGTTATGACAAACATCACCGCCAATGATGTTTTACTCCCTGTCCTTTGATTTACTATGTTTTCTGTGGTAGAGAAATATTAAGCATGAAAATTGGGATCCAAAAAATTATTTTTCTGAAGAACTTAGGAATTACTGTCAATTCAATGTTCTTCAACCTTCTCATGAAATTATTATTAGGATAATAATTTAGAATTAGGATAATCAAATGTATATTGATCCGCGTGAAGAAAAGTAGTGTAGGTTATCAGTAGACAACGAAATTTTATTTTTTTTATTATGAATTAGGCTCAAGTTTTGGGACGGAGCATTTTTTGATTCTAAGTAAATTGTTATAGAAGCTGATTGTACAGTAAAAAATTCCAAACTTTTATATATTTTTTGCTGGGAAAAATACTTAAAAAATCAACACTTAAAGGTAACAAAATAAAAGTTCTCAAATATACAGTAGACTCTCACAATTTCTAATGATGGATTTTGCTCAATTTATCAGTTCCTGAATAATGAAATATGTGAAAATCAACTGTATATATTGTAATTGTCAGTTGTTCATATAAACACTATGTTTATTGCAAACATAAATTTAAACAAATTAATTTAATTTAAAAGAAACGTGTAAAATTCATATGATGATTTATATAAAGTGTTTTCTTTTGATATTATTAAATATTTTATATATTTATAATACAGTTAGAATTATAGTGCAATTTTATTACACTCTTAATTTTAAATAAACATTTGAAGTTTTTATATTCGTGTATATAAATAAAGCGGTTTGTATTAAATTATATGACTTATTTTTTTTATAAAAGTATACATTTATAATTATATTATAATGTGTATAATAATTTACTACAAGACCTAATGGAAAATATTTTGTATCTACAATATGAAATTAATACAAGATTTAGTGCACATTGTGCATATATTAATTTAACAGCATTGCATTGTAAAATAACTACCCGAAAAGGGTTTTGGAAAATTATTGTTGAAGAGATTGCTGTAATGAAAGAAAATTTTCATCATTAATATCTTTATTAAAATCATTAATATCATCATTAATATCAACCTTAATTTTTTTGCCTTTTTTCCTTTTGTTGTCTATAAACGTTTTTACTTGTGCTGGGGTTCTGCAGCATAGCACTTCATTTTCAGACACGACCCTCATGCACTCCTTGAGAGATGGCAACTTTTCCATTGAAGAAATGTCCCCAAATTCAGCAGTCAAAGCTTCTTGCTCATCGATTGTCCACCGGCATTTTTTTGTTTTTCCGCAAGAAGTATCTGTAAAAATTACACAATAATCATTTCATAAGCCTAAAACAGATGTAACAAACATCCTATTTAATAATGTCAAATGAAAATGAATGCGAAAGTCGTTTAAGAATATAACAGTTTTATCTTTCTTTATTAGCATTCACTTTTTTCGGCATAGCACAGTGAAAAATTGCACACGAAAAACCTGACCAAAACCAAATGCAATATAAATTATGCAAACAAATATGTACTCCAAATTTATTTTTGATTAGAAAATCTAATATAAAAATAGAACAGTGTTTGGCTTGCTTGTTTGGGATACCATAGTATTTTGTTGTTGCAAAATCGTCAGGCAAAATCCCATTATTGTTGTTTTTATAAAAACAACGTTTGTTTATGAGTGGAGAACGATGGTAATGTTATAAAAACAACAATAATGGGATTTTGCCTGACGATTTTGCAACAACAAAATACTATGGTATCCCAAACAAGCAAGCCAAACACTGTTCTATTGATAGACACAGGCACGGTCGACGAAGGGGTTTTTGTTGTAACAGACAAAACAAACTTACATGGTTATGTTACTTCGTTCAGGTGGAACGAAAGCATAACAAGTGGAGAAAGATAAAAATGTTTATAAGTGCGGTTGTAAGATTTAGAAGATTTTCCGAAAGAATTTTAGTTTTATGTAATTCTTTTGTTCCTCTTCTATTGAGCTTACGATCTCGTCACTTGGGTAAAAAATGTTTTTTGTCATAGAAGTTATTTTTTTTTTTTAAATAACTTCTGGGGAGAATATCCCAGACAAGAAACAAGGGAACTGATGAGGATTGGTGGCTCTTTCCGAAACCTAGGTATTCCCTGCCTTACCCCCTGGTAAACATTACCATCGTTCTCCACTCATAAACAAACGTTGTTTTTTTAAAAACAACAATAATGGGATTTTGCCTGACGATTTTGCAACAACAAACTAATATAAAAATATTTAAAACAAGTAATGTACTTTGTTCATATATATTGGAAACAACAAACCGATTTAAAATATTATAGAAAAAATAGTTTGTATTGGCTCTGTTCCAGAACCTGCAAGAATCTACTAGTTTTGAAATTTTTCCCATATCGTAAAGAGGAAATCGGTTATCGTAGTAAAAACTTTAACATACCTGCATTTCTGGAACAGACCAATTATTATTGCATTTGTGATTAATCTGTAAAATGTCAAATCGGCCATGATATCAAATCTTTACTGGATTTTAAATAAGGCAATTTGGGGAGTTTGAAAGTGCCGGTAGCATAATCTAAAAAAATATTTGTACTGTTTAAATAATTTTGTGAGTGGACCAAAAAGGCCACAATAATACTCAGTAGGAGGGTTAAGTGAAATGAAATATAAAATCAGGAATACAAAAAAAAAAAATTTAAGCTAGATCATAATGCATTTGATTTTGGTCATGGTTTTCGGTAAATTAACCACTGTGTATTTTGAAACATAAGTCTACGCAAGCTTAGTTATAGTTTCTACTCAATATACTTACTATCAAGTTTCTTATTGTAGGTACTACTAGTCTTCCTATTATACTTACTACTAATTTTCTTTTTTACCAAATTTGCGCCATATGTAATATTGTCTGATTCATCAAATGATGACTCAGATTCGGAAGATATGTTTCCACGAAGATTATCAAAACTATTATTTTCGGAGTTTTCCTCATTCCTACAACCAGCAGCTGACAGCAAAATCTTGGACACTGTAGTGATTTCCGCCATTGGTACCGATACTCTATAAATACTTTTGTGTATATCCTTATGGTGCCCAAGAAAATTTGCTAGCTTATCCACTGTGGCTTCTTCAACGTTTAGCAAAGCTGTATACGTTGCTATATGCTTCCTTAATTTAGTTCCTCTTAATGTGTGAG